TTTCAACTTTGTATTTCTTCTCGGCGTATTTTAATCCCTTTTTATAAAAACGCCATTCTAAGCATTAATGAGACCAGTTCAACTTACTTATTAATTAACGCATTAATATAGTGTAACAAACAGACAATTATATATTATAGCATAAATAATCGGCTATTTTCCCTATTGCCCAATGTGATAACGGGACCAAAAACCATGCGTCAACATAGTCACGCCGCATCTTGTTAGACGCCCGGTTTCACCTACGCGCACCTATGCGCAACTACAACAGGCGCCCAGTAAAACAAACAAAAATGTGCACGACTTCCATCGCTCTTGTTATATTGAAATTATTTGACTCGAGGCCTCAGTTCGCATAAAACGGCGAGCAGCATTCAAGTAAGTATGCTGGCCAATACGGCGCTATAGACATCGCCGCTAATCTTGGTTGTCGCCCTTTCTTTAGAAACCGGACAGAACAGTCCATTGTAAACAAATAGAATCTGTTCATTCAGTTTAAACTTACAAACAATGGAAAGCACCAAAATGAATATGAGAAAACGTTTTTATTGATTTTATATGATACAATTTCTTAATGTTTTCTTGACGAAATAAGTTTTATGCCTGATTTTTTAAACCTTGCGTGCTTGAAAAAAAAAAACCGATTCTGAAATTGAATCTACATTCAAAGCGATTGTCACTGATCTTCTGCTTACCGCATCTGAATCATCATTCTAGGAATTCTAGGGCGGCCTGTTTTTCGGTAGTCAGAGTAATTTATGTTTAAAATTTCTTAGTTAAGTAATATCTCCAAAGTTAAACTTTGTTAGAATCAATTAAAATTTCGAAAATTTCCGTTCGAGTTCCAAAAATGTTGCCCCGGGAAAAAATTTAAAAACGCATACTAAACATGTAGAGTGAAAAATACCCGTTCAAGTCACAAGGATTAATAGTTTATGTTGTATATATATACATCATGATCTCGTTTTTAAATTTTATCATAATAGCTGCAACCACGTATTTCGTGTAAAAGTCTGCCACAGTACCTCGGAACTGTTCGAGCCCGAGCCCGACCAACCGTCCTCGGACTCTGCAGACGTTATAACAACGTAAAACGTGGCGTTTAACCCTTAACATCGATGTCTTTAAACTTATAATCCAATATAGCCCCGCGAACTGACAGTCGTGACCCTTAATACCCATATGCAGATTATTTTGAATGACGACCTAAACGTTGATCTGAACAATCTAAAGCCACGGTTATTATATTAACATTTCTGCACAATAGTTTCAACTCATTGCATAGGTTCAAAAGCAAACGAAAAGATAGAATCATAGCTAAGACACATTATCTGAATGTGCAACATTTCTTCCAATTATATTTTCCATTTACACTTAACGTTTCAGAGGGGACTCGAAATAGTTTTGTGGCGGATGGACAATCAAAGGCATAGCTTAAACGCACGAAATTGTTTTGGCCGAATACAGATGACATACATCAATCTACACAAATTAAAAATATGTGTTACGTTTAATTATTATAAATTATGATCACTTACTACAATCTTGTTCGTCTTCTCCTCCAGGGCATTCGATATGCCCATCACATAGAAATCTCTGCTCGATACAGTAACTTCCAGGACATTTCACTGTATTTTCAGGACAAATGATTTTTTCTGAAAAAAAAACAACAAAAAAACAAAAACAAAAACATATAAACAAACAAAAAATGAATAAAATGAAAATGTTGCAATTTAATACAAACAATTAGTTTTAAGCAAAGCACTTTTTAAAGAAGTGATTGACTTAACATTTCTTATTCTATTTCTTTTTTCCTATTAGTATTGGACGGAATTTACTTACACTACATGTAATTGCACGTTCATTTTTAATATCCCTCATTGCTCTCATTGCTTTACACTTATTACATAACATTAAAATAGGGCATATTTCTAATAAATTCTATACTTCAGTGTAATTATAATTTTTTTACAGAGAATATATTGTCAAGACTTTTAAAAAACATGTCCAAGTGCATTCATTTACATTACATGTTATCATAAAAATATTGTGATGATGTGATAAGTTTCAAAAGTGACAAGCTGTCGATTGATGATATAAAAGAACGTTTTTGCTTTCGCTGCCGTGTTAAAGCTTCAAACTCATGAACCCTAAATTACTTACATTTTCTTTTTGGCTACTAGTCAAGTTATTTTCGATAGTTCTCAAGATATTAGTTCTTCGCATTTCTTTTATATATTGCTCCAAGCTCATTATCAAAATATTGTTTTAAATACATTTACGAAATATTCTTGAGAGGTAAAATACACTTTATTATTGCAATTGGAATCTTAATATTTATCAAGGTTTTAAGGACAAGAAGAATTTTGTCTTCATTACTACATCGATTGAATTTCATTGGAAATCAGGCGTTTTCTTTTTATGTGCATAAGGTTATTATAGTCATATTTTTTTAACTTTCGACATATTAATAATATAAATAAATGAGATCAAAATGGGAAACAAATAAACAGAAACATAGACTTTATATATGTTATATTTTTCTGGTCTTCGGATCATTCATCCAGCACTATTGAGCTTGGAATGAGTACCGCTCAAGCCGGTGCTAGGGGGCGTGAGCGATGTGCACTTATTCATTATCCCTTATGTACAGACTCAATCAAATCGAGTCTGCAATTTTTATGTAATTTTGTTATGATTAATGCTTCCGAGGGATCACTTTGTTTCCAGATTTTTAAACACACGGCCCTTTTTTAAAAACTAAGAAAATTATAGCAGAATTTCACAGTTACGTTGTATAACTAAAGAGTAAGATTGGTGTTTGTTCAATCTAAATTTTAAACAAAATTGTGTAATAAGTGTATGTCAGGGAGAACCTATGGCGCCATTACAAGCATTTATATTTTTATAATATACGTAGTTCTGTACATTGATGCATACTTCTTAAATCTGTGCTTTTTTCTCTCTTTTTAAGGACCAGTGGTTAATAGATTAAAAAAAGAAGCAAAACAATAACCAAACTATTTTCTTGCGAAATCATCTGCTGTAAAACAAATAACAGTGTGCATCTTTGAGAAAAAAGTATCACACATAATATTCATAATTCACAAAACCTCTGGTGATATTTATATCTTAATAGAGCCAAAGTTGTAAATTCGAAATTTGACGCTCAATGCCAGTGTAAACGAATCCTTACAAAAAGTACGAAAACTAAACTTCACCAATTATCCCCCCTAATATTTTGACAATAATTTTATCACACTTGTATAGCAAAAGAAAGCTTCATTAAAATTGTTTGTATACAGAACAAATTAAAAGCAAACAAAGCGCAATAAACAAAGAATTAAAAAGATACTTGGGCGAGGTTAAAATGCTTTTCTTAATGGGTTTTTTTGGAGTTTGAATTATAAATTTGTTTTTTTTTTTAAATTTGAAAGAACACTACAATGTACACGAATAAAAAAGGTAAAGGTAATTTTATTATCGTGACCTCTTCTATAAAGGGCACCATTTCTAATTAATGAAACCAAATTTGCATACCCTATTCCCCAAACTTCTACCACTATCCACGCCAGGGGGATAGAAAAGGGGAAAAATTTCTTTTTAACACCTTGCGACTCACGCCGCGCCATTTCGGAACGTGTCCCACCTTCAATTGACACTCCCCTGGGGCTCGAACCTTTACCTTCGATCCAAAGGGCGGAACATTAACCATTAGGCCAACGTACAATATACGAGGGTGTCCCAGAATTACGTGGAATTTTGCTATAGACTTTTTTTTTTTTTTAATGCATTTCTTAGCAAATTTGTACACAATACCTTAACATATCCTTAATGAATATGTCCATTATTTTTTAAATTTCTAACATTGCTTCTCTATATTTTACGTCGCAATAGTAACCAGTATGCGCAGGGCGGGGGCAGTCCAATATTTTGTATTAATAAGCTGTCTTTACTTTCGTATATCTTGCGTATTTATACGTAAAAAAATGGTGCGACGTCGTAAGCATATGCAGTGACGTCATATGAACGTTCGTTTGAAATTTGACGTCATAGCTGTTTCCGTTTATTTTTTACCAGCGGACAACTGACAACCGTTGCTCTTTGATATTAACAAAAAATGACGTCCACGGATTACGCGGAACATGGACTATCATCAAGTTTTGTGTAAATCTTGGGAAGACGCCAACACAGACGCAGGAAATGTTAGAGCTGTAAAGTGAGACCTCCTGTTTCTTGTCGATCACTCGTTTCAAGTGGCATAAGCGTTTTCGAGACGGCCGAGAGGACATTGAAGACGACAAGGGTCGTGGCAGAAAGTCAACATTGACTGCGGCGTCAATTAAGGAAGTCAAGGACGTCATAGATCGGGACAGGCGTTACACCAAGGTCAATGCTGACCACTATTCAAAGGTAAGCAATAATTTTGTGTTTAAAATAATGAGTTCTAAAGATTAAGCTAATCACAATTTATTATAATTTCAAACGCAATTTATCCGCTTCAGCTTTTAAGAAAGTGAACTCAAACTGCTAAAGTAAGCAGTGCGCATGATAATAATAATTTTAATAATAATAATAATTCGGCGTCAGCATTATCACCGTCGTCTTTAACACTATTATCGTAACAAAAGTTAATAGTATGCTTTATTATTATTAACAGGGCGGTGTACGACCAGTGGATGTATCGACACCATAGGTGTATTGATTAGGCGGCGGGACAATGGCGAGAAAAACAGACATTTCGACGCCACGCATTTATTAACAACCCAATGCGACTCACGGAATGACCTCGTAACGTCGGAATGGACTGCCCCCGCAGCCCCGCTACCCCTTGTCTCATTACCCTGCCCACAGACACGATCAGGTTGCCGGACAACTTTGAAATTTTTTGTACTAATGCAATAAAGTTGCATTTTGTTCATGTTAATTTTGTTTGTTTTTATTTTCAGTAGTATTTGAGTTACAGCAAAAGTCCACGTAATTCTGGGACACCCCTCGAATATGTATCTAAATGAAATTGTCGTATTGTCAAAAGTGTACATTACACTTAGAATTTAATACATCAATGAACACATAATATGATGTATTAGGAAGACCAAACATTGAATTTATTTTTGCCTTTGGGTATGCACATCTCAAAATATCCATCCGAGAAATTCAACTCGAAAGAATTGCAATAGATGTTAGAAAATGTGTACAATATGCAATTCTCAATTTTATTTCTGGTCATAAGTTTATGCACTTTCACTTTGGGTCATCAAATTCCGGCAAAGGGGTTCTACCCAGCTACATGAGAAACATGGCACCACAACTAAACAAGTGAACATGACGGCATGTTTTCCGCACACCTGCTGTACATGAACATGGAGGACATTTAAAAGCACCATTGACATGCATTTACTCCGTCCCAAGCAAAATTCTTTAACATGCACTAAATTAAACTAAAATCATGTATTTTCTTTCCTTTCGCAAAAAATACAATGCTTCTTCTTCCTAAATAAAAACGGGAGGGGCCTATTCCCGCTAACGTGAAAAAAATTAACACTTTTAATATAAGTTGGAAAATAAAGAGGAAACGGACCGGGCACACAAAATATCTTTGATTGTTATGGCCTCCATTTAAAGAAGAGGGGGTATACTTGCTTTTGTCGGTCCCGTCCCTAGACAAATGGTTTCCGAGTGATAACTAATGAGCCCTTTAAGCCTAGGAACTTAAAACTTGGTAATGGTGACCTTGGTCATGACAAGTAGATAACCCCTATTGATTTTGGGGTCCCAAGGGGTCAAAGGTCAAAGGTCACATTGACTTTGTAAATAAAAAACCGTTTTTTCCGGATCATTAACTAAAGAAACTCAGCCTAGGAACTTCAATTCTTGTATGGTATTGCATGACCAGCCAATGACCCCTATTATTTTAGGTTAACAGGTAAAGATCAAAGGTCACATTGACCTTGTAGCTAAAACGTTTCCGATCAATAAATAAAGAACGCTTAGCATAGGAACTTCAAACTTTGTTTGGTGATTGGACATGACCAGCAGATGACCCCTATTGATTTTTGGGGTCAAGGGTCAAAGGTCAACGTCACATTGACCTTGTAGTTAAAAACGGTTTCTGTGATCAATAACTAAACAACACTTACGCCTAGAAACTTCAAACTTGGTATGGTGATTGGTCATGACCAGCAGATGGCCCCTATTGATTTTGGGGTCAAGGGGTCAAAGGTCAAGGTCACATTGACCTTGTAGGTAAAAACGGTTTCCAATCAATAACTGAAGAATGCTTAGGCCTAGAAACTTCAAACTTGGTATGATGATTGGTCATGACCAGCAGATGACCCCTATTGATTTTGGGGTCAAAGGTCAATGTCACATCGACCTTGTAGGTGAAAACGGTTTCCAATCAATAACTTAAGAACGTTTAGGCCTAGAAACTTCAAACTTGCTTTGATGATTTGTCATGACCAGCAGATGACCCTATTGATTTTGGGGTCAAAGGTCAAGGTCACATTGACCTTGTACGTAAAAACGGTTTCCGATCAATTACTAAAGAATGATTAGACCTAGAAATTTCAAACTTGGTAATGATGGACTTGGTCATGACCGGCAGATGACCCCTATGATTTTGGGTAAAGGTCAAGTACATGACCTTGTAGTGAAAATGGTTTCCGATCAATAACTTCAAAGAAGTGCTTAGGCCTAGAAAACTTCAAACTTGTATGATGATTGGTCATGACCAGCAGATGACCCCTATTGATGTTGGGTCAATGTCACATCGACCTTGTAGGTAAAAACGGTTTCCGATTAATAACTAAAGAACGCTTAGGCCTATGAACTTCAAACTTGGTATGATGATTGGTCATGACCAGTAGATGACCCTTAATGACGGTTTCTGACCAATAACTCAACAACTCAAAATGCCTTGGTTGATATTTTTATATTAAACTAAAAATGCTTTTGGTATACATATTTGAAGGTTTTATGTAATATAACAACTTGGCTGTCATTAATGAGGCCTACATGATTCATAAAATTTATGCATATATTATTTGGTAAGATGTGTAATAACTTAAATTGCTGCACACAACCTATGGGGTCACAATAATTATTACCTTGTGACCAGTAGATACTAGATAACCCATTTTAGTTGTTTGTTCACTGAGTCAGAAGTCATGCATAAAAACCTAATCACATGACTACTTGGCTGCCGATAGGGGGCATACATGTTTTACAAACATATCTTGTTTTTATACAATTGAGAACTATTAATCTGATAAATATATTCGTTACCACAATTTTGTAAATGGTCTCCAGATCTACATCCAGTCAGGTAACCGCTGGCATCTAGGGCATAAATACAAATCATCGATTCTGGTATGATTTTGTCGTCTCTTTCACAATGAAAAAATTCACCAAAAACGCTTGCATTGTAATCTTAGAGATAAAAACAATTAATTAACTTAAATAATTAAAAAACAAATCAACACGTGCTAAATACGTATCTAGCCAGAATTGTACCTCAATAAAAAGAACAACGACAACAACAATTCAGCAATAAAACAAAAAACAAGAGGGTCATGAGGGCCCTGAAATCGCTCACCTGTATATAAAAACTCTCCATGACAAGGAAAAAGTAACATTGTAAACTATAAACAAAAGCAGATGTAAAATCTACATCTTAAACTGATATCACATAGTTCATATTTGTGTCTGAAATAGTGCATGTGTAAAAAGATTAGTTTTTAATACATACATCTAAAGAAAATCAATATCAATCCGGGGCTGGACCAGTTTAGACCCAAGAGAGCTTTTGTTTGAAAAAAAAAAAAAATAACTTGGTAGACACTCACATATAATGAAAATCATTGCCCCCCCCCCGGGCGAAGCCAATTTTATTTCCAATGTTTTTAATTGAAAAAACTTGGTAGACCCTATTAAAAGATGTTTCATTTTAAATATCTAAGCTCTAGCTCTTTGGGTTTTGTTAAAGTTTTTTTTTCGTTTACCATGGCAAACAGAGTTTCACATGGAATTAAATTTCTTTGAACAATTTTCAAGGGTGAACACCAATTTAACATTTCTGTGAAGTAAAGATGAAATTGGCTCAGCAGTTTATTAGGAGATCTCCGTTTTAAGTAAAAGTTAACAGACAGGGCGGACGCCAGATGAAAAGCAATCACAATAGCCAATCTTGTCAATTTGTGACAGGTGAGCTAAAAAACACAATTCAATGAACCTGACATGTAATTTGCTAATTCGAAATAATACTAGTGTTGTACAGCTTTTGATATTCAATTATGATGTTTGAAGATAAGATTTAAAAAAGATATTTCCACAAAAAAAATTTAAATCTGCGACAGTTCTAGCTTAAATACCCTCACATGACATTCACTTAAAAAATGAAAACGTACAAAAGGATAAAATTCCGAAAGCTAGGTTTTTGGGCTGGCGCTCGTAGTTTTTCTAACTACATGGAACAGGGTGAAACATGTTTAAATCTATAAGCAGCACTATTTATTGAATCTATGGTGAAGGCAAGAATATTACTTTTCGCAAGTGCGTTCTTGAGTATATTTATCTAAAATAAATATATATTCAGAGAATTGATGGATATTGCAGGTACACAACTTAAAATGTCATTTTTGGAAAAGTATCCTACTTTGCCTATACGAGCTAGGGGCATAGGAGATGTTGCACTCTTAAACATGAAGGGATTTTGTCACAAAAATATGTCTTCCGCAACTTGGTATAGTACTTATTATTCCAGTGAAGTTTGGTCGAAATCCAGCAAGTAGTTTGACCTGTGCAAGCCGGACTAAATCTTTCTATTTTTGCTCAGGTGGCCATTTTGTGCGGCAAACCGAAGCCTGCCTGTGATATACACAATTATAAATCGTACTGATCACTCCTGTGAAGTTTCATTGGAATCCCGTCAGGAATTTGAGCTGTGAAAGACTCACAAGACATTTTCATTTTTTAGCTCTGGCGTCCATTATGTGCAGCATATTAGTATGTGTTGCGATTATACATGTAAATATAAATAGGTGAAATACCGTAGGTGCAATAAGGAAGTCCAAATTTTATGTCTATGAAATCTGGCAAATCTGGCCATCTTTTACCAAACGTATTAACGATATTCGCTTCATGGACAATTCTTCTTACAGTATCATTCATTTCTGTGATTTCACTTTCATCGCATCTGGTTATCGAGACCATATCAGAGGGACGTGAATCAATAAACCTAAAAATATGAATCTAACAGCATCATGTAGCATATTTCAACTGTCATTTTATATTCCCGTTTTATACTGTGTAAACAAGACCTTCTAAATCATGCTTCAATCCCCAAAAAAATTTAAAAAAATTGCACCAAATACATTGTCAAAAATGTTTCCTCTTTTCATTAAATTTATCCTACAAAAAGAAAACGTTTTTACAAAAGTTTTCTGAAAAAGCTTTTGGGCCTTTTTCAATCCCCTTCCCCCCTGTCCCCCGAAAACATTTTAAAAACAAAACTTTAAAAAATCAAGCCTCCAGATTTTTTGACTCTGAAATTTTATTTAAAAGTAAAAAAATGTAAGTAAAAAAGAAGTCTTAACTTTTGAAAACCCTCACAACACACGGAAATTGCCAAAATAGGGGCAAATAACAGATAAAAAACTTATCTTGGGTACGCATAAAAAACGCACAATCACATACCCAATGAACATGTAAAATTATTTTTATTTAGAATCGTTCTACTTTTTATTCAAAGATGTTTAAATTAACCAACTACTAAAATTTAATAAATTTAAAAAACATAAATAGTATGAAAAAACTTTTTTTTACGTTTTTTTCTTTAACAACCCTAAATTTTTATGTTTAAATGTCAAATTTATTTTGAAGTGGAAAATGGGGTTTAAACTTTTTTCTAAAATAATGACAGTCCCACAAAATGAAATTTCATTTTAAAACTAATTTTTAATTTCAAAAAACACATTTAATTTTAAAATATACCAAATCTCTTTTCTCACGAAATCACAAAAGATTTTTATATTTGATAAATGGAAGATTTTAAAAACATACCCGGCAATGAAATCAATGGGTAATGAAAAGTTTTCCTACGGCAGGACAGACGATATGCAACATTGTGGAATTTTCAACAATTGCCGCTCCCCAAAGCGAACTTTCAAAATTTCCTGTACCTTTAAAAAGATAATCACTTAAAGCAAATATCGCCTTTCATTATAATTTTTATACAAGTTATTGAAATGAAGCGTTGGATCCGGATTGCGGGGGATAATGAGAAATAATATCATTATTCTCCATATCACGAGACACATATTGGATACATTTTGCATTGCACATGTAACATCATGTATTCTGTCTTTTTTTCTTATTTTGAAAACAATTTTGCACAATCATTATATATATCTTATTATAAATGTAAGGAAAATAATTCACTCGGCATTAGTGTTTATTAGATATAAGGAAAAACAAAGAACTCACTGATGGTTAACTATATTGTTTATGAGTTAAATGTACGTTCTGTACCAATAATTTGTAAAAAAAAAATATAAAAGAACGAGTAAATATTGTAAATAGTTATACAAACTTGTACCTTAAAAATGTATTTAAAAGCATCTGCAACAAACGAATGTATTTTTATTCCTTTTAGAACTGCATTATGCAATGTTGGTTAAGTCTTGTAGATAAAATAATGGTTTGATGTATTAATTTAAAAGAATACTTACAATTTTGCAATAATAATATTTTTTACTGTTATCGATTCACTATCTTTAATATACGAAAAATCTGAAAATGCATTTTGTGGTAAAAATGAACATGGATATTTATGTTAAAAACTCTTACCGTATAAGAGCATGTATAGCTTCTGCTATAATCTCTCCGGTGAACAAGATAAGTAGAATACAATATATCAAGAAACTCAGAAGCTATATGCGGTGTTGAAAATTGTATTTTTCCATAATCGTTTTCTTTCGGCATAATTGTCCATAATAATCCAAAATCTGAGAAAAAACAAACGTGCTTTAGTCCTAAGTCCCCATTTGAGCAAGAGATATTATTTGCACTTGTTTTTATGTTACATAATCTTATCTATGGTCCTTAAAACGCCGAGTTTAAAATTAATGCCTTTTGCTCACTTTAAATTTGTTTTCTTTTGAATCCCATCTCTATTTAAAGCACCTGAAGGAATGTTTCTCATTTTAGAAAAAAAAGAAGGTTTAAAACATAACATTAACAATGAATCTTATCACAGTCAAACTTTAAGTGACATTATGCTCATTTTCACATCTGTAAAGTTTAATTGAATAGGAATATATTTTAAATGATTTGAAATTTAAATGGCCAATGACCAATAATTCATAATGAAAAAATACATATAATACAATTTAAAAACTACCTTAACCTTTTCCCTCATATATACGTGTTTTGATGGCGTTTTGGATGTGCACCATTCTGTTTTGTGAGTTTGAAGGGGGCGGTAGTCCCCCTCATCGCAAAGAGAATGTTGGACATGAGACAGGCTAAAAAATGGCCTAAGACCGATCATAGGGTAACTAGTAACCGACGCTGAAAAGCCTTTTACTCTATCTCAATTTATTGAGAAGTTGCAGCACATTTAAATCAGTTTTGATGAAATAAAAACAATGCAAAAAATTGATTTTTGGCAAATTTGAGACGTCCTCCCGTTACCACGGTAACCGGAAATTTACGATTGATTATGCTGTTACAGAGGCTATGGTCAAGTCAACATTTGTACTAGTTTCATCAGTATTGAAGCAATTTTCATAGTTTCATAGGTGTTTTAACTTATAACAGGAGGCTTTTCAATGAAAACGGCCATTTTTCACAACATGCTCATGGGGTAAAAGTTTAATTAAAAAAATGTCAAATAACAACAATTTTTCCCAAAAAAATTGTGTAAAGGCACTAGTTTACATGGAAAAACTAGTTTTTGCGAAATTCCAATGATTTTCATCATTTTTTGTCAATTAAAAAATAAAGAATGTCAAGAAACAACATTTTTTCTCCAAAATTAGGTGTAAGGGCACGTGTTAACATGGAAAAACTAGTTTTTGGGTAATTCCAAGGAATTTCATCATTTTTTGTTAATTAAAAAATAAAATAAAAAAGGTAAAAAAAACCAACAATTTTTGACAAAAATTAGGTGTAAGGGCACTTGTTAACATGAAAAAACTAGTTTTTGGGCAATTCAAAGGATTTTCACCATTTTTTGTTAACCTTTTCCTTCATATAGACGTGTTTTGACGGCTTTTGCCCACCTCCCCTTTTGAGGCCTTAAACAGTGAACAAATGCCTTATTTAGGCTCCAAACACTGTTTTTCGTTTGAGAAATGTTGTTACAAAAGTGACCACTTTTTCGGCGCCGCCCCCATCAAAATTGTACATCAGGGGGTTGCCAGAAGGGGATGTGCCCCCTTCTGTTTGGTGACTTTGAAGAGGGCTGTAGTTCCCCTCATCGCCAAGAAAATTTTGGACATGTGACAGGCTAAAATGGCCTCAGGTCGATCTGAGGGTAACTAGTAACCGACGCTGAAAAGCCTTTTACTCTATCTCAAGTTATTTAGAAGTTGAAGCACTTTGATTTCAGTTTTGATGGGAAAAAATAATGCAAAATGGTGATTTGTGGCAATTTTGAGACGTCCCCCGTTGCCATGCTAACAGGAAATTTACGATTGAGCATGCTGTGACAGAGGTTATGGTCTAGATAACAGTTGTGTCAAGTTTTATTTGTATTGAAGCTTTTTTTATAGTTTCATAACAGTTTGAACTTGTAACAGGAGGTTTTTCAAGGAAAACGGCCATTTTTCACAATATGCTCCTGGATTAAAAAGTTAAGTATAAAATAACTGCCCCACACTTTTAAGAATTGAGCGTTATCTATGCATTCCGAACACTATTTATAGAAATGTCCGTTATGATTTTTGTTCAATGCAAAATAGGCAATTATGACAAAAAGTCAATTTATTTAACCTGTACACTGAACATTTTCACTTGGATGGACATAATGTCACTTGAAACATACTTGCATATTTTTGGCACTCCCTTTGTTCTTAAGACTAAAATATAATACATTTATTTAATTTTACCCATGAAATATGGTGCTATATCAGTCAAATATATTTCATATTTTTTAAAAATAAATATGAAATATAAAAATGAAAGTGGGCGGAGTCAAAACTCATATTTATCTTAAGGGACTTCTTTCGCCGTTTTGTTTGAAAAATCTGATAAATACCAAACAACTTTTTCTTGAATTTTGTTTTGAAAACTATATAGCATGATAGAAAATGGTCTAACTAAGAAAATAAATCCGAACACCAATATCTTTAATTCAATAATTAACGCTGTACAGACGTTTAAAGAGTTGTTTACATGACGTCACAATGTAGCGCCAAACAGCGCGTGCTTACGCATAAATTACTGCTCGCTGTACGATTGCAGTTGGTAGCAAGCAAGGGGATTCGTTACCATTTTCTTTGATAATGAAATTAATTAAAAAGGTTATTTTTTCGTTTTTCGTGAAATATGGTATATATTTTCACTCAACATGATGAAATGCCACATATTTTCACTCGCCGTACCGGAAAAATATCCTCTTAGTATTGATAATGCAATGCATTTATTTAAGAATGTTGCTTACATTTAACTTTTGACGAAAGGTATTCTCTGCTGAAATCATCAGAAATTGGAGGATTACTTTGGCAAATTCTTTCGTCACCTCCCATCCCTACAGTCAGGATAGCGATCACCACGTTTCAGTCGATATGGAATACATTTGTAATCAGGCAGCACAAGAAAACCGAATTGTTACAGGAGTCTTGGGAATTGAAAAATAAAACGTGATAATCATTTTTAATATATGCATTTGTTAAACCAGATGTGATCATAGATGTGATAAAACCAATGCTTACCTAAGACAACAATATTTCCATTAAAAATAATGTATAATCAAAAACATTAGAAAAAAGCGAAAATATATAAATCGGGCGAAGCCAAAAGTCTTAGGAAATCAAGTAAGCCGCATCCACGTAAATTCTGGAAAGGGTTTAGAGACAATATGCAAAGAATCCCGTACATGCCAATTATTTAAATATTCCTGATTTATTTACTCATTTTAAAAATTAATATAGCGAGGAAACGAATAACAGATATCAAGTTACGAATCTAACGTTAATAACAGATGATTTAGAAGGCGCTTTATCAACCTCGGAAGTAAAAGAGACTTTTATACTCAAAAAAAAAAAATAGATAATAATAAAAAAAAAACCAGTAAAATAAAAGCGCAGGATCG